CTGCCTGGATGAACGGAACCCCGGGCTGGCAGCAGGGTGAGTGGGGCTGGCGGACGGAACCCCAGACTGGCAGCAGGCCTAGCAGCTCACCCCGCTGCCTATCTGGGATTTCATCTGCTGCCCGCGGTGCCGGTCTGTGGTTTTATCCGCCAGCCCCTGTAAATGTAAAATGTATTACTGGCACGCAAAACCTTAAATTAATGAAGATTTGGCACACCGCTTCTCAAAGGTCGCCGACCCCTGTTCTAAACAATCACGTGAGGTTACCATATTTTGTTATACTGCTGTCTTATTCCACACCAGAGGGTGGCTGCATTTCCACGCAGGAGGAAGTAAGTTGTCTGTCAAGCACTTCAATATCTTTCAGAATCGAAGATGCTATGGCTAATTAACTAAGTAAATGTAAGATAATTTTCCATTTTTATCACAGTAATATTAGGCATTAGCAATACTGTTTGTGTGTCTAAATCCTCCCTCATCTCATTAGCCAAGTACAATAGCAGGCAATGAAATAAACACCTCTGCAGGGTGGGTGATTTTAAATTGAGAAAGGTTTATTTTTTCCCTTTAACTAGGGCAGTTGAATGGCCCGAACCATTGCCCAATATGAGCTGGAAATTTTAAGCTTGTACCTAGTAGAAATATGGTGAATTAGTCATTCACCTTTGAAAACCAGGAGGAGCTTATTACAGTGTTTGTAGACCTTAGTCAAAAAGAGCAACTCATAACCCAGCAGGGGAGTGACTGTCCAAACACCACGTTGGAGAAAATTCTTAATTTTGTAGTCACCAAATTCATAGCAGCCCTCCCTTCCCCACTTGCCAGCTGCCAAATCCTCAACCTGATTCCTCACCAGCGAAAAGCCCTTGATGAAATTCCCTGTAGAGGCCTTTCTCTTTGGGAGGGAAACAAATCTCACTTCCCTTTCCCTTATGACAGCCTGCAGGGAAGTTGTGAAGTCTCAATACATATGTTAGAAAATGCTGCTAGTGAGGCAGTCCCAGCAGTTGGCTAGCAGCTCTTCTGGATCGCAGCATCTTCGATGCTGACAGCTTTGTTCCAGTCACTTGTGAGCTCGTCACACTAAGGCCCTGAGTGTGAGGCACAGAACTAAATGCTATAAACCAGCCACACTTAATGAACTGAGCATTCATGCAGCACTCCCAAAGTCTTGTCCCAGCATGAACCGTGTTCACCTCGCTGGGAACATTCTCCTCTTTGTTGATGCAGCCCTGGTCAGAAATTCAGAGGGGCTGTTCCCAGGGCAAGGGCATTACACTGACCTTTCTTTTTCTGCATTAAATAAGCTGTTCAACCATTTCCTCCCCTTCTACCCAGGGGCTGCTCCAGGCACTGGCGGCTTTCGGCGGCATGCCTGCGGGAGGTCCACTGGTCCCGCGGCTTCGGCGGCAATTCGGCTGCAGGTACGCCGAAGCCGTGGGACCGGTGGACCTCCCACAGGCGCACCGCCAAAAGCCGCCTGACTGCCGTGCTTGGGGCGGCAAAACACATAGAGCCGCCCCTGCTTCTATCTACATTGTTTTAGCTCTCTTCCAGGTCACTGGCAAAATGCTCCTTCTACATATTCCTTTTCCCTTAATCCCAGTCCATGTCTTTGGCAAACATTTTGCAAATCATCTCTTTAAATTCAGTCCAATTCCAACCAAACAATGCTGAGAAAGACACCACATTCTCCTGTATCTCCTGCTCCTGCATGTGATTCCCTCTCCCAAAGACCTTACTTTCCAGGAACAGTAGATTTCCTGTTAAATGTGCTAATAGGTCCTGATCCAAAGCCCACAGAAGTTAAACAGAAAACTCCCATTGACTTCAGTGGCTTTGGATCAAGCCTCTTCTGAACATTTTACTGGAAGAGCTTAGTAAATGCCACTGGATTATTTTAAATGACTAATCGTGGCTTAGAATAGCAATAATCTCATCAAAATTGTCTCTTACCAGCAGTTACTTATGTGTTTTGTACTGCCTTTGGGTGCTTTACATAAACAGTGCTCATTAGCTACCCCATGGCCAACAGGAGCTGCTAACGGGTTATTTTAAATTTAAATCACTGTGTGATTAAACAAAAAGTCTAGCTAGAATCTGTCTGAAGCTGTTGGGACATCATGGTTAATGCACAAACTACCACTCATTTTCCATAAATAGTAAATCCTGCAGTGCTGGAGACTACAGTAATTAACATATTTATCCACACAATAAAATTTTGCTTTTAGATGAGTTTGCAAACCTCTTGCATGCTTAAAAAAACCACACACAATCCCTTCTTTCTCCTTCTCTCCCCCTCCCCCAAATATATTAAAGGACAAAAATTGAGAGAATATAATCAATCATGACAAAAAGCAAATTCCAGAAAGCTGCAAACATCTTTTAAATAAAGATAGATACGGGGAGGAAGTGGGTGAAGATAACAGGCTGAAAGATCATCTGTTTAACACATTACAATTGAAGGGAGAAGTTGCTCCTGTACCACTTCACAAGGGAATGTAATGAAAATGTAAATAAGTTAAAGTACAAACTTTTAGTCCTCATGCTACTTTGTATCAAGGAAAAAAAATGCATTTATTCCAGAAAAGATGATGTCAGTAGCAAACAGCAAACAAAAAGTTTTTCCAAAGTCTAGTGAGAGAGAAGAAGGATGCAGTGTTCAAAAACCATGATTCAGTCCCTCCAAAATCATAAGATTAGCTTTCAAATCATGAGATTTGAAAAAATTATAGATTTGGCATTCTTGTTATTTGCCTTCTGGTTATTGAGCCTTTTGGATTAACATTTTCAAGCTTTTCTCCACAATCATAAGAACTACAAACTCACTTATAAAAAAAAAAAAGGCAAGCACATAATCACATTCTCATACAGTCATTTGATGCCAGGAGCTGGGGCTTTAAGAAGAACATGAAATATTGTAACACTTATGTTAAAATCACAAGAACTGGCAACCCTGACAGTGGGCCCATATAATTGAAGATTAATTCTTCCAGGTAAGAGTGATTAGGAAAGTGGAGAGATGTCCACCATTTGGAATCACTGATGAGGCCCACAAAACACCCTCTTCCCCTTTGCATTTCCCCGGGGTGTATCATCTTCACTGTGTTTCTCCCTCACGTTCCAATTTTGCAAATGTGTAGGCACGTGTGTAACTTTTAGTTGCAGAACCAGAGCCTTAGATTGTAAGATCTTCAGGACATGGACTGCTCATATTTTGTATGTACTGTACAGGACTAAGCAGCTGGTAATAATGAGGGATAGAAGCCTCCTTCCACCATCCTCTCCAGTAACTGGCAGAAGAAGAGGCCTGGGGGTGGCATAAGAAAAATGAGCCTTAGCTGGACAGACCCTTCCTCAACTCTCTGTATAATGGAGATAGATGCACAGCTGAGCTCAAGGTTAACCTTGGACAAGTCACCTTTAAAAATAAATTACTTAGCCTCTGTTCTGACTTCTGCAACAGGTTGGTTGATTTGGAAGAAAGTAGACCTGCTGCGTAAGGCCACAAAGAAAAATACCATGTGGGGCCAGGAGTGGGAGAGTAGCTTGGGCCAGGGTGGGCGAAATGAGAACACATACAGCTGTGGGCCACCTATTTGAAAAAGCATGCACTCATTCTGGGTGCCTCTGTTTTGGACTAGGTTTCTTGGTTTCTCAAATTGGCCTCACAAAAATGGAGGCACCTCAAATTAGTTGGCACTTTTGCAAATATCTCCAGCTCCTGAATGCTCCAATTTAGAATGCTGAGCTCTACAGAGATAGTGAGTGGGAGGTGGGGGCAATCTTTTCCCTTCCCCCACACACAGGTCCCCAATCTGCGGAGTGCCCTGTGGTGTGTCCAAGGGAAAGGGGAAAACTATGGCAGAGGTGGCTGGCCTTTCCATGACCTCTGTGACATTTTCCACTTCAGCCCCAGGGTGGCGGGGCGGGAGCTGCCAGCCAGTGGGGCCCCATTGGCAGCAGGGGCCCAGCAGCTCCCAGCCATTACAGGGGGAACTTGCAGCTCTGAGCTGCTGAGGACAGTGGGGATCAGCTGCCAGCCATGGAGCGCAAAGCCGGGGCCCCGCTGCTCTGAGCCATCATGGGCAACTGGGGAACCCTGGTGCTCCCAGCTACCACTGATGACAGAGGGACCCAGCAGCTCCCAGCCATAGTGGTGGTGGGTGTTGGACACCCCCCCCCCCCATCATGCAGCAGGACTGGGGCTGAGCCCCATTTTGTCACCGTTATTTTTAGTAAAAGTTAGGGACAAGTCAGGGCTTCTGTCAATTTCTGTTTATTGCCTGGGCCCTGTCTGTGACTTTTATTAAAAAATAACCATGACAAAATCTTAAGCTTAGCCAAGATGGTCAGGGTGTCCCTAAGCCTCTGCTTGTCTGTTCTGTTCATTCCCTCGGGCGCCTGGCACTGGCCACTGTCGGAGACAGGACCCTGGGCTCGATGGACCTTTGGTCTGACCCAGTGTGGCCATTCTTGTGTTCTTGTGGGGAGTCCTGGCATGGTCTAAAGTTAGGGTGACTAGACAGCAAATGTGAAAAATTGGGATGGGGGTGGGGGGTAATAGGAACCTATATAAGAAAAAGACCCAAAATCGGGACATCTGGTCACCCTATCTAAAGCAGCAGCAGGAGCCGGTTCTTCACAATGAAGGACAGCCCCTCCTGCACTCTCAGAAGGGGGGAATTGTAGACAAATCCTATTTTACAGCCACTCCCAGCGCCCCTCCTGCTCTGCTCTCACAAAAAGGAGGGACGCGCAGCCTCAGGCGCCACCTTGCGGATAGTCTGTTAATGTGACTCAGGGAGTCTGAGTGCTAAGCACAATGCTGCACCCCCTCCTCCAGCCAGCCCCGGCCCCCCGGCCGGCCGGCCCCAGGGGGCTGCCGTGCAGCGGGCCAGCCGGGCGCGGTGTGGCTACAAGAATTGGCTCCTTCTCGAGCCCCCGCCCGCTTCTGGCCACACACAGGCTGGGGCGAGGCGGCGCATCCCTGCACCTACCTGCCTCTCCCCGCGGCGCCGGCGCGGCAGGGCTCCGAGCAGGGGCAGGGAGAACACGCGCTGGCCCCTTGGCCTTGGTGCCTGACGCCCGCTCCGGCTCAGCCCGGCCCGGGAACCCGCCGTGGGACGCCAGCAGCAGCGGCAGGGCGCGCCCCGTGCCCCGGCTGCGGGCTGCGCCTCCAAGGCATTGCCCGGCGTTGCTACCAGACGCAGGCAGGGAGCGATCCGTAGGGAATCGCCGCTGTTGCTAAAGGACGGAGCAGGCTGGGACTTGCCTCGGGCCGGCGGCTGTGGCTGCAGCAGCCCCCATAGGCATGGTCAGGACTGCGTCTGCCAGGCTTTGCTGCTATTGAGATGAAGGGGAGGGTGTTTTAAGCAAGGGGAAGCCCCCTGCCCGGACATGGCCGCTTGTAAGGGTTTTTAAAACAAACACACTCTTGGAGTGCTAGTGATACCACGGGGTGGGGGGTGAGGAGGGTAAGAATGTGGCTACACTATAGCTGAGCTCGACCTCCGTAGGTACTGGCCAAGATTTTCAAAAGAGACTAGCAATTTTGGGTGCTTCCCTTTTTTGGGTGCCCAACTTAAACTGCTTCAAAGGGGCTCCCCCCCCACCCCCCGTTGGGTGAGTGCTCGGCAGTTTCTGAAACTCAGTTTGGGGTGTCTCCAATTTCTACTAGCCAGCCGCATGCTAGGTGTCCATGTGGACTCTGCTGTCATGCACTGAAAGTTTTCCAGTGCGCTTTGATCTACTCCCTTAAAGTAAGGTAGAACAAAATACACTAGAGCATTTTTAGTTTTCTCATGACTGGCTGCCCCTCTCACCTGCTCCACCCCCTTTTACAACTTTGGCACAAGGCGGGAATCTTTTGTCTCTCTTGGTCCCCACCCCTTCTTCTAAATGGAAAAGTACCAGATTTAAGATGGATTTCATTATCAGGTGACATGGTCACATGTCACTGTAAGACACCCCCCCCCCAAGTCTCCATTCCCCATGGGCTGGCCCACACATACACAGGAAGGCTTTCAGGTAACTAATGCAATTTACTTAATATGTTTACATCAGTGATACAAGTTTATATCTTAGTCTCCTAACTCCAGATATAGAAATAATAAATGCAAACAAATAGGATGAACACACTTCATAGATTATAAGCTTTCTAATGACACCATACAAGGGGTACTTAGCATAAAGCATATTTCAGTTATGTCATATTCATAAGTATATTTCCATAAAGCATATGGAGTGCAAGGTCACAGAGGGAATGGTGGTAGTACAACGGAGTGCTGAGGAGAAGAAATGCCTAACGTTATCCAACAGTGACTCCTTTGGCAGAGTAAGGAATGGTACTGCCAAGCTTCAAAGGACATCCTGTCTGATCCAAATGGACAGCTATCATGTGGAGCTGGCAAGGTTAAAACGCGGGAAATGGGGTAAGAAACTTGCTGTGACAAAGATGCAAAGGGGAGGGAGGAAGAGAAGCTGAGGTCTTCTTAGTTCAGTGGTTCTTAACCTTTACTGCAGCCTGCACCCCTTTGGTTCTCAAAATACGTTCTTGCACCCCTTATCAAAATATGTTCTTGCACCCCTTAAACCTAAAAAATATGTTTTCACACCCCTTAAACCTAGATATATATTTTTGTTTGTATATTACAGTAATCGTTAAAAATGTATAATATTAATAAATACATAGGTTTGATTAAACAAAGTAGTTGTACTTACGTGCCTGTGCTTAATTTGTATTTTCAATGATTTACCTTCTAAAAAAATCTGGTATGTCTCGCACCTCCAAAAAGGGCATCTCACACCCCCAGGGGATGTGTGCACCCCAGGTTAAGAACCACTGTCTTAGGTGCTTGGAACGTGGAAGTGGAGAAAGCTCTGGGCTGACAGCAAGCCCCTAATATTACCCAGGTGCTTCTTACCATTGAGAACATATTACCTTCCCCCTGCAGAAAATTAAGCGAATATATTTTATTAATCATGAAATGTTTTGAAGTGACTGAGTAATCAGGGGCAGCAGAACCAGAGGACTGTGAGGGCTAGCACCCTCCCCCCGGAAATACTGTGGGGGCTGATCTACATTAATTCCACCCCTTCCAGTCATTCTTAAATGAGTTGTTTCACATGGTTAGGCCGGATGGGGCTCCGTGGCTGCTGGGAGTAAAGGCCATAGCAGGGCCCAGAGGGCTGTCACAGCACCTGGGGTTGGGCCAGAGACCAGGTAGGAACCAGTGTGATCAGACCAGGGCTGGGTGTAGCAAGCCCAGGAGCAAGATATGAACTGCCAGCACTGGCTTCCCAACCTGGAGCCAGCTGCCCCTCTCTGCCAAATCTCAATAGCTTCCCTCCTTTCCTACCCCACTCCTATCCCTGATAGTGACACGCCAACCTCCCCTCACCCCCCCGCCCATGACTGCCCCCCACTCCTATGCAGAGCACCCACCGTGATTTCTCCTGACACCTCACTTGTCTCCCTCTCCCAGTGCTTACTATGGTGCTTAGTATGTTTAAGTTTTGCTATGCACCTCTGCTCCCTGCAGTCCAAGTGAGCTTTTGCAGCCTCTGTGAATAATGCCCTCTCCTATGCAGAGACATTTCTGCTGTGGCCATTTTTTTCCCTCAGGTTTTTCTCACTCCCTCTCCATCAGTAAAGCCATAGGGAAAATCATATTGAGTTGCATTACATAATTAATGCAAGTTAAACATTGGCATTTTCCATTAAAATCCTTCTGTCAAGGTATAATTATAAGACTCGATGAATTCCTTGTTTTATATAGATGTGAATTTTAATTAAAACTTGTGCAGTGCTTTAAGCTGAGTTGCTTTACACAATTACTTGGTAAACTTGATAAATAGATGCAATCACAGTAATCTGGATTTTTAAATTGTTTTTATTTATTTTTGTCATGAGCTTTCACGAGTTTTAAGTGACACCTAGGGAAGGACGATGTGCCACAAATGGCTGAGCAAGACTTGTTCCTGAGCATCGTGCTTTTTCAAGGCAATCACTACAGCCCGACTACTGCTCAGTCTGCTAAACGGAGTATCCTGCTGTACACTCTAGCCGAGGAGTTGGAAGACCTGTGTTCAAATCGCTACTCTTTTTCTCTGTGACCTTGAGCAAGTCATTAAGGCCCAGATCCTCAAAAGCATCTAACTTCCATGGAAGTTAGGAGCCTAAATACCTCTGTGGATATGGGCCTTAGCCTCGCTCTGCCTCAGTTCTCCATCTGTAAAATGGGGGTAATAGCACTTCTCTACCTCACAGGAATGTTGTGAGGATAAATACATTAATTGTGAGGTGTTCAAATACTAAGGTGATGGGGGGCCACATATATAGATATATAGACACACTCCATTGGCATATGTCATAAAACCTTGCCTTCCCTTATTCCCCCAACCCTGAGTGGGATCCCTTTCAGAGGTGACCTAAAATAATAAATATTTCAGAATAATTAAAGGTGACATTTGCCCTTGTACAAAGATTCAACACAAGGACCGTGCATTGCTTACGTCCCACGTAAGTCTTGTTTTGAGGCCATAGGTATGATTTAATTGGTGCATAGCCAGTGTTGCTGACTCTTGAGATTTTATCATGAGTCTTGCAATATTTGTTGTTTTTCTTAAAACTCAAGCTCCTGGAGTCATGTGATTATATGAGTAGCTCATGTTTTTTTTAGAAAAATATATATCTTTATAGCTCATGCAGTTGCAGACAAAAGCTTGAAAATATGAAACCCTAAAAGCTCAAAAACCAGAAGGCAAGTAATAGAAAGAATCCATTGTTGATTGTTATTTTTAAATATCATGATTTTTAAGCCAATCTCAGTTTTTGGAGGGACATGACTCATGTTTTTTTGAATGCTCAGTCATGGCAATACTGTATAGGCTTGGTGCTGGACCGTTGCAAAGGGTAATTCACCCTAAAAAAACACATGTTCATTAAAAGTCAAGCCTGCTTTCCTTGAGTCACCAAAACTCGCATTAGCTCTGCAAAGAAAGCCTGAACCTGACGTGTGTGTGCACACTCAGGATCCTGAAGACTTGCAAACAAACAGGAGCCTGGACAGCTTCTCCTTGACTGAGAGTGGAACCCAGAACTTCCCGTTACTGGATTACTGAGTCAAATCTGGCTCTGGTGGCTAAAGGCAACTTCCCTTTAATGGTGCTGGCCTGTAGGCAATGAGTTAAGGGGGCTCTTTCAGTTCCTAGTGGATAGGTGGCTACACCACTCTTTGGCTAGGTCTACACTACAGGGGGGGTTGACCTAAGATACGCAACTTCAGCTACGTCAATAGCGTAGCTGAAGTTGCGTATGTTAGGTCGACTTACCTGGCTGTGAGGACGGCGGCGAGTCGACCGCTGCCACGCCGCCGTCAACTCCGCTTCCGCCTCTTGCCACGGTGGATTTCCGGAGTCGATGGAAGAGCCATCGGGGATCGATTTTATCGCATCTTCACTAGACGCGATAAGTCAATCCCCAATAGATCGATTGCTACCCACCAATTCGGCGGGTAGTGAAGAGGTGCCCTTTGTAATTTCAAAAGAGGTGGCAGGGAGTGAACTCCCTTCCCTGTTTATGTGGAACATGAGGGAGGAGGCACCCTGCCTAAGCTTCACAATGTCAATCTGCTATCCATGCATGACTTGTTATGTGGCTACACACAGGACTTCACATTACAGTGCTGTGAGTTGAGCACCTTTATAAGTGAATTTAGCTTTCATGAAAAATGAGTGAAGTCAACAAGTGTCTTGTTTTTAATTAAAAACAGCTTGTAATTTTTGAGCTAAGGCAAAAAAAGGTGATTAAGAAAGCGAAAACGATTCTCTGCTCTTTTGCTCAGAAAATATAATTTATGCTTTTTATACTTAATCAATCAAAGCCCCAAATTAAAAGCAGAACTTGCATAGCCACCTATGAGCATTTTGTACTGCGACTGCCCTATAAACTACGTGATCATTTACAATTTGCTTGTGACATTTTCTTAATGCTAATTCAGGCTGTATTAGTAAATGGTAAAAGATGTCATCCAGCAGCAAAGCAAAGTTGGGTTTGTTAAAAATGAACATAAATATCACATCTGTGCCAATGGCTTCTTAGTACAAAGCACTGTTTACTCAAATAAAGCAGGCCCCATGAATTGGGCCGGCAGTATCTAGCTACCCAGCTGATCAAATAAGAGTTTTGTTTCACAACCAGAACTGCATTTCCTTAACATCTGCTCTGATAGAGAAATGACAGTGGAGATAAATCTGTTTTATTGCACTGTTTTTTTGGAAAAACCTTCAACCGTGTGTGGTTCCAGTGAACAGCTTGTAATGAACTTTGTTTAG